GGGGACAATTCCAAGGCAAAGGGCAGGAGAGGCGCAGCAGTGGGGGCGGGGTAGTTGAAGTGCCAACACTTGATAACCTCTTGGCCAAACCAGACGGGATCACCTGCCAGAGGCTCCAAGATCTACAGTCAATCCCGATCGACTGGTTGGTGACCACTGGATTAAGCTGTTCCAACAGACAGAATAGCTACCAGCCTGCAGGCTCTCCAAGGGCACTCAGGCCTGTTGAGCTTACCTTGGTCTTGGGGCCAGTCCTGGGAATGGCTCCAATCAGTGTTGCCTGCTGCAGCAGAATCTCTGCTGGAAAGTTTCCACAACTGCAGTTGGCTTCTGTTTCCAGCCCAACCCTGTGCTCCCCAGCCACCAGCTCATCAAGACAATGGTCACATGGTTTGGGCTTTGCCGTGGCAGACCTACAGAGCATGAAATGACCATGGTGCTTGGGATCCCAGTCTGCGGACCAAAGCAGAGGCAGCAGAAACAATCCTTTATTAAGCTGATGCACCCTGCATGAGGGACCCTGACCCTATGCACAACTTCCTTCCCAAGAGCAAACCTGCCCCCTGCTCAAGTCTGCAGTTGCACCATCAGCAGTGTCCAGCAGTTTGCACCCAGCTGGGCAGTGAGAGACTTAAGTCACAAGAGGAGCTGCGATAGAGTAGGCAGAGCTCCATGGGCACTGAGGGGTTAAGAGCCAAGGCAGTGAGGAGCGTCCATACAAAGCCCTCTCAGCCAGAGACGCCCCTCTGCATTCTCCTAAGCAAGGGGACCTGCAAATTCGATTCCCAGGCCTGAGAACACATCCACCTGCTGGGGGTCAGTTTGTCACTAAGGGGTAACGTGGTCAGCGTCCAATCCACTGGACTGGGGAGTCAGAAGACATGGAGGGAGGGACAAATGGTGGGAGGAGCTGTCACGTTCCACCTCTAACACGGACCTCCAGCATGACTTTGGGCAAGTCATTTCGCCCCTGTGCCTCTTTTTTCCCATCTGCAAAATGGAAATGACACTTCCCTCCTCTGTAAAGCACTTGGGCTAGGTTTACACTGGGTATCCCCAAATAGCAATTCCTCATCTTTTGAGTGCACCTGTTATTTCCAAATATACTGGGCTCGCTATTCCGATGTCCCTGTGAACCTCGTTCCACAAGGAGTAATTTCAGAATAGCGATTTATTGCAAAATAACATCAAAATACGCTATGCAATTTGTGTAGCTCAAATTGCATAGTCTATTTTGACCTACGGTGCAGTGCAGACACACCCACAGAAAGCTACCAGTGAACAAATCTATACAGAGCTTATGATGGAAATAATTCCTGGCCTTTGCAAACTTCCTCCCTTAGATAGCATCTTCCCTTTGCAAACACCACTGGAACAAGTCCAGGTACTGCCACAATGGCTGTATAGAGCACGCACTGCAGGAGGAGCTAGGAAGAGCTAAGTCCTGTTGTTCCCAAACCACCATCCTTGTCACTTAAGCTAAGAGACTGAGCTCCCTTAGCCAAAAATAGTAAAACCATTATCCTCTGCATGGCCATCCCATTAGAGGGCAACCACCCCCACCCCATTCCTGCACCCTTACTTCCTATAAGTCTTTACAGAGGACATACAGTGAAACTACAGAGCACTGTCACCTGTAGTGGTGGCAGTGAAAACTCCAGCAGGATTCAGGCACTTCAGCAGACTCTTGCTCTTCTTGGGCAGCACCCTGGCTTTCCCCCAGCTCCCCACCTCAATCTGCATTTAAAAGGGCTGTCTCACTGGTGTGGACAAGATTCGCTAAGTTCACTCTGCTGCCACACCGTGTGATAAGGCCCCTAAGAGAGAAGCCAGGGTCTGACCACTCGCTGCTACTTGCAGTCTGCTCCTCTGACCCGCATCCATGCCAGCAGGACAATCGCTACTGAGCCATGCGTTAGGGGAGCAAGCAGGAGCTGATAAGGAGTCTCTGCCAGGAATGCACCTACTTGCAGGAAGAGCTGCATTCCTGAAGGAATTAGTTAATTGCTTATTTCCTTCCACTTCTCTAGTTAGCCACAGCAGCGAAGCCAGTGGGCCTGTGCATTGCTATTCACCCCAGAGCAAAACAAGGATGGAATTTTTTGCTCCCTCCCACCACTGAGTAGCATTTTGCACAGGGATGCTTGATCCCAAACAGGTGCAAGGCAGCAGAGAGTCATGCACCAAGGCTGCAAGGTGCCGAGAACCTGCAGCAAAGCTCTGAGCAGCTTTCCTGATGGCACTCAGCTCCTGGCAGGATTGGGCCTATATGGGCCATAAAGATGTTGCTGTTGGTCCCTGGGCCAGGTGGCATGCTGTAAACAGGGCTGTGTGCACTCTCCCAGGCTAGAGCAGTGAGGAACAGGTGTCCTAGATGGTTTGCCTTGCTATGGGGAATCCTGCTGTTGCTTTCCTGCTGGGGTGAAAGAGGGCGTGGGAGGAGCTGCATGTTGAGCAAGCCAAAGACTAGCTGAGAGAGGCTGGTTGGACTTTATGGTTGACTAGCAAGTACTCACCTGACTCCTCATGGCTCCAGAGCCTATGGCGCTTAGTGACAGAAATGTGTTTTATGAAAGATATTAAACAAAAATAAACTCAAGAGAGCATTTCCCCACTACTAAGATACCCTTCACAATACTAAACTAAGATTAAAGCAACAGAGCTAATGAAACAAGGTCAAATCCACAAGTCAGCAGCCTCACTGGGTTGGAATTAAATCAATACAAAGACCTGTCCATTCAGAACAATACATAGAGAATAAACTTGTGGCAGACAATGCGGAAAGCACGACCGGCAGGCGCTCAGACACTACAGTGATGGGTGTAGTATAAGAACCTATGTAGAGCAGAACCCTTATGAATTCCAATAAACAATTTAAGGAGGTGGCTGCCCACTTGTTAATAACCCCCAATTAAATATGTTTATCCCAGGCAGTCAAACCTGTCATTTGGACCTGGTTAAGTATTTTGATACTGGAACCTAATTATTGTTCACTCACTGTACCACAACCTCTGAGCCAATTACAAAGCTGCCTCTGTCAATTTCCATTCCTCTGTGTTGGCTAACCCTTCCCTCCCAGCCACAGAGACATTCCAACACAGACCCTAGCTGAACACGGGGAAGCAAAGTGTGGACAGCTCTTACAGACCAAAATGTTCATGGGAGAGTCTGGGTGTGTCCAGGGAGGTGAAAATGTTCTCCCACTGGTTTTTGTATGTTACCATTCTTGATGTCTGATTTGTGTCCATTTATTCTGTTTTCCAATGTACATGGCTTGGCAGAGAGGCCTTGCTGGCATATGGTGGCACATATCACATTAGTAGATGTGCAGATGAACAAGCCTTTGATGGTATGGCTGATGTGGAATGTGGCTGGCACCTGGCACAGCCCATCACACTAGCTGTCTATCTTTGGGTGCAGGCAGACTGGTCAAAGGCTGGCATGGCCCATCCATGGATGTCATGACTTCCTGTCCCAGAGGTGATCAGCCCTAGGGGTTCTGTGATGTTAAGCTTTCCATAGAGTGCTTGTTGACCCCAAAGGCCTCTCAGCCTCACCCTCGACTCTCACGGTTTGCAAGCATTGCTTGCTGTGCCTTGCAGCACCTCCCTCCGCCTTCAGACCAGCCAGGTAGTGAGGTCTACTTTTGAACTAGGCAATTTGGTCCAGTCAAAGGTCACAGGAAATCAGCACTAGTTAGCATCACCTTGGAAAAGGCCTGTTTCTAAATAACAGAACTGGATTTTCATGTCTGAAGACTGTATGTTTGCGACCCCTTCCCCCAAAATATCAGAAATACCGAACAAAGATCATTTTTAAAGAAGTGGGTACAAGCAGGTAGAAAGGTCTTGAGATGACATTGTATCACTAGTTTACACCAAATGTAATGCAAATCTGAAAAAAAGAATGGGTTTAAAAGACTCTAGCCACCAACAGCCATTCAACATGAATATACCCACAACATTAAAAATACGTTGCACAATCTATAACCAGATGTCATGATCTCACACATGAGACAAGCTAGTAACCTCATGTTACAATGGAATTATTTTTGTATTTAGGAAGTAGGGCACAAGTTGAAGAGCTTCTCTTTGAGAGTTTTCATCTGGATAGAAAAAAATTACTTTAAAAGCTTATCAGGACAGAACTCTCTTAAGAAATAAAAATGTAGAAGGTTTATACGCCCATTAGGATGTTTCTCTTGCGTTGCTGAGCCTTTACTCTCTGGGATGACTGGCTGCCACAAACTGCCTCCTTTCTTCTCTTGCCTCTGCCTGGCCATTTTCTCCTCCACTGGCTGACTGATTTGCTGCATCCTACTTCCTTTTCCTCTTCGCCTGTCTCTTTCCCAGCCAACCCCTCCCATGCCTGCCTGACTCCCAGCTTCTCTCCTATAAAACAGCAAAACAGGGTACAACCTGCTTGTTTTAAAAAACCCTTTGCGAATCACTTTAAAGCCCTACTTAGAGGAAAGAAGGTATCATTCCCATTTTACAGGTAAGAAATGTAAGGAACAGGGCAGCTCATGGTCACATGGCAGAACCCAGATCCCCAGTCCTGTGCTTTAATCAGACTGTCCCCTCCTCCTTTCCTAAAGCAATTCCCAGTCAGAACAGAGCTGATTGACTGAATGACTGATTTTCAGCTTGCTGCCCAAATAACCCAACCTCACTTCAGGTCAACCAGAGGCAAGGTTTGTTTCCTGAATTTTTCAGGAAACTGAAAAAGGAGGAAAAAATTGTTTCAGATCCAACAGAACATTGTATTTAACCTGCAACAAAATGTTTGGTTTCACTTTTGAGTTAACATTAAAAAAGGATGTGCGTTTCAAAACAAAAAGCCATTTCAGATCTAAATATCAAAACATCTTGTTTCAAAAATGTCAAAATGAAATATTTGATTTTTTCAGTTTTTCTCTCCTTTTTCCCCCCAACAATAATTTGCTGAATTCCACATGAATTTACAAAATGTTTTGGGTGACCAGAATCTCTCTTTTTTAGCTGTTTTAGGTAGAAGCCACTCAGACTAGAGGATGGATTTTGAATCATGGTTCAACCTCAACAGTGCATCTGATTAAATCTCACCAGGTCACTATCTGGCCACTCAGAAGTTTATACGGCGCTCAACAATCCAGAAGCTTGGTTGTTTAGGGTATGTGGTGAAGTCACTAACAACATCTTTCCTTCCCCACACAGGGAGCTGGTGCCAGAACACCACAAATAGGTGAATCAATAGAGCCTTAACTGTGAGCTGGTCACATTTAGTGACAGTACTGGCACAGACAGGAAACAGGGAATTCCATTGCTGCAGAAATATGTATGTAAAATAGTAATAAGAGAAAAAAACAAACCCCAAGTAAACACCTTCAATCACAGTGCAACACCTGCTGGAAATAGTTATAAAGGTTATAACATTTCCTCCCAGGAGGCCTGGAGAATTTCCTGAGAGGAAGCAAAAAGCTGTTTAGTCATTTTTAAGGGAGGAGGAGAAATTTGTATATCTGCATATTCAATTTTTTGGATGTTTCCTTTCTGAAGAGCAGGAGTATGGAACCTTTTTTGGGTTGGGGGGCACTGACACCCAGAATCAGTCAGGAGCCACACACAAGTGAGAAACAAAAACAAACAAAAAAACCCAACCTAGGCTAGTAGATTTTGTATACTTCAGCCCCATAGGTGGGTGGCCAGGGGGCTCCACAAGGGCTTATGGGGCTTAGACATTACAGAGGATCTCAGAGTGCTTTGCAAACACTTAAGCCTGAAAACACTCCTTAAAGATTAACATTATCCCTTATTTAACAGATGGGTAGGTTAAGTGACAAGTCCAAATCAGGGGCATAATGCTACACAGAATTGTTGCCATGATTCCCAGTTGTCTGCACTTAATCGCTGGGCTAGATCCCTTCATACCAAAGCATCAGATAGAAGAAAAAGCCTTGGTTTGGTTTATTTGTTTATTGAGTTTGCTGGTACCCTGTCTGGTGGCACCAAGGAGGCTATTTTAAAAGCACAGTCCCACAATTGAGAGTATCTCTCTTATATTTATGCAGCTACCTCCCAGCACATTTTCCTACCAGAATGTAAAACAGCACAAGCTGTTCCAATTTTAACATGGGGCAAATTCCCCAAGAGTAACTAATCAGAGGCTCTGTAAATATTGAGTAGCCTGGAATGGTAGAAAACCTCACTGGTGGGAACTGCAGCCAGAGATTGCGATCACCATGAAACTGGAGTAGTTTCATGTTAAGCACATAACGAAGTTTCTAGGCATAGGACTAGCTGGAATCTATCTGTCATATGGATTCAGGTCCACATCTGCAAAGGTATTGAGAAACACAATGCCCTTGGAATCTATGTGGGCCTTGGGGACGGGGTGTGAGTGAAGGGAGACAGTGAGTTCATTAACCATGAGATTGGGTTTAGGAGTCTTAGGACACCTTTACACATCAACTAGATAGCAGCAGCTGGCCTGTGTCGACCAGCTCAGGCCACTGGTCTTTTTCATTGCTGTGTAGATTTCTGGGAACAGGCTGCAGCCTGAGCTCTGGGATGGACCCATCTCGCAGATTTTAAAGCCTTAATGTAAGTCTGCACTGCCTGAGTCTAGCCTCGAGCTTAAACCCCCTTGCATCTACACTACAATTGTGTTAACTCAGGCTCAGAGTCCCAGACCATTGGGTCTAAACAGCAACATTATTTCAAAATAACTTATTTCAAAATCTACACAGCAGGCAGCTATTTCAAAATAATGTTGAAGTACTGTCAAACTGGAGGACTTCTTATTCTGACTCTGGTAGACTTTCATTGTATGAGGAGTAAGGGAAGTGGGAGGAAGGGTGCTCTATTTTGAAATAAGTGCTGTGTAGATGCTCCCTATTTTGAAATAAACTATTTCGAAATAAGCTATGCATAAGAACATATCAACGGCCGTACTGGGTCAGACCAAAGGTCCATCTAGCCCAGTATCCTGTCTACCAACAGTGGCCAGCATCAGGTGCCCCAGAGAGGGTGGACCGAAGACAATGATCAAGCAATTTATCTCCTGCCATCCTTCTCCAGCCTCTGACAAACAGAGGCCAGGGACACCATTTCTATCCCCTGAAGAAAGTGCATTTTACCCATGTGAAAGCTTGCATATACTGTATATATTTCATACCTATATTGCATATACCATATATAATATATGTTACATATTTTTGTTAGTCTCTAAGGGTACGTCTACACAGCAACATTTATTTCAAAACATCTAGTGTTATTTCAAAATAACTTAGTCTGCGTCTACACAGCAGGCTGTTATTTTGAAATAATGTTGAAATACTGTCAAGCTGGAGGACTTCTTATTCTGACTTCTGTAACCCTCGTTGTATGAGGAATAAGAGGCGTCTGAGGAAGAGTGCTCTATTTCAAAATAAGTGCTGAAAAAATGCTCCCAATTTCAAAATAAGCTCTTTTGAAATAAGCTACGCAATTGACATTTTGCCTAGCTTATTTTGAGTTAAGCCCTGCTGTGTAGATGCACCCTAAGGTGTCACAGGACTACTTGTTATTTCTCTTCTGTCAGTTGGCCTGTCAGCTCTATTGCGGGGATGAATAGGAGACATGTTCTGCTGGAGGGTGTTAACAAGTGCTATCAACAGCAGACAGTGTGTCCTCCATTTCCTCAGGCGTGACGGGTATACTAGGCAGGAGAAGGCACTGCCTTTTCAAACCATCAGCCTGACCCCATTCATTCTCTGCCCCCAGAACGCCTACTATAGGTGTTGTAGAGGGCACAGTGTTCCTGCCCCGAGCATCCGCCCTTCCCATACTCCGGGGTTGGGGAGGCTGGGGCCTCACGCTCCTCCTTCCCTCCCACACCCCTGAGTGACATAGTTACACCAACCCTCCTTGGTGTGTTGACACCGCTGTGTTGGCAGGAGAGCTTCTTCCATGGACATAACTACCAATGCAGCATTTTAAATGTAGACTTGCCCTGAGTTGCATTTTAAATGTAGATTTGCAGCTGTTTTGTGAGTGATCTGATGCAGATTGCTGTAGAAGAAACACTCACACTGTGTTCTCTCCCACAGCCTTTACTCCCAGTCCCCTGAATGTACAACAAAAGCAATAGAGCCTGAAACATCTGGTTGCTCTTTATCTATAGAAAGGTGAGTCTCATCTTTTCTTGTGGCAACTCCATTCTTGGAAGTTTTAAGCCATGGTGGCCCATTTTGTTTGATCCCCTGTTAATCGCTTTGTGGTTGAATATTCCCTTTGATCCACTCAGAATACCACCTTGCCCATCCAAGATCTTCTTTTTCTGCCTTGTGTATAAGTCTGCCCCCAGTTTTCCCTTCCAGTGCCTGCAAACAGGCATCACATGCTTAACATGGGCCCTACACTGTCTCATAGTACTTGAGAAAGGCAGGTATTAAAGGCAGCTTTTGGGGTGAGGACTGTCTTTTTGTACAACACCTAGTACAGAGAGGGTCCCTGACTGCAACACAAATAAATTAATAAATAACATTCTCCCATTTTACATACAGGACAACCAAGGCATGCAGCAGTGAAGTAACTTGACCAGGTACCACAGCAGTCAGAAGCAGGAAAGCAGCTCAGCTCTGCTGACACCCAGCCCTGCCCATTAACCCCCTCAGTCATGCCTCTCTGCACTTGTTTTAAGAGGCAGCTCATGGTGCCATTTAAGAGGCTGTTTGTGCCATTGCCCCCAAAGTCTGTGGCGAATCAGTCTCCTCACCTGGTAAATGGTTGATAGTCCCTTTGGGTATGTCTACACATCAGGGTAAAAGTCGAATTAAGCTATGCAACTTCAGCTACGTCAATTTCAAAGCTGAAGTCAAAATAGCTTAACTGGGCTTTTGGCTTGTCTACATGGCAGGAAGCTGAAAGGATTATTCTAAGAGGGGTGGTTGAGATTCTGTGGCCTGCACTGTGCAGGGGGTCAGACTAGATGATCATAATGGTCCCTTCTGACCTTAAAGTCTATGAGTCTATGAATGAATCTATGAACAACACTCCAAGTACTCCAGCGTTCGTCTACACTGCACTCTAAAATCGAAATAAGATACGCAATTTGTGCTATGCAAATTGTATATCTTAGTTTGATTTTATTTTGAAATAGGCTCTTTTGAAATTTGGCATATCTACGCGGTGCCAAATTTCGAAATAAAGTGCTATTTTGAGCCATCCTGTATCCCTCATGCAGTGAGGTTTACAGAGATGGTGAAATAGTGCCCTTGTTATTTCGAAAATTATTTCCTTGGATGAGTTCCTTGGATGCGGGGTAGCTATTTCAGGGCTCCCAAAATAGAGTTGCAGTGTAGATGTACCCTCCTTACTCTTCCTGAAATGTGGGTTGCCATGAGTCTCAAGTTGTGGTGGGAGAGATCCAGGTTGGATATTAGGAAAAACCATTTCACCAGGAGGGTGGTGAAGCACTGGAATGGGTTACCTAGGGAGGTGGTGGAATCTCCATCCCTAGAGGTGTTTAAGTCTCGGCTTGACAAAGCCCTGGCAGGTTGATTTAGTTGGGATTGGTCCTGCCTAGAGCAGGGGGCTGGACTTGATGGTCTTCTGAGGTCTCTTCCAGCTCTATGATTCTATGATTCTATGAGTGGGAGTAAGAAGCCCTCCAGCTTGTCATTATTCCAAAATAAAGGCTTGCCCTGTAGACATGTCAGTTATTCCAAAAGTCTCGGCTTGACAAAGCCCTGGCAGGTTGATTTAGTTGGGATTGGTCCTGCCTAGAGCAGGGGGCTGGACTTGATGGTCTTCTGAGGTCTCTTCCAGCTCTATGATTCTATGATTCTATGAGTGGGAGTAAGAAGCCCTCCAGCTTGTCATTATTCCAAAATAAAGGCTTGCCCTGTAGACATGTCAGTTATTCCAAACAATGCTGCTGCGTAGAACGTGCCCTGAGCGCGGGATCGCTCT